GAATTTTCTTCTACTTCATCGAAGATTTTTTTCCACGAATAAGTTTTCGCCTCTTTTATGAAGTTTTTAAAGGTTTTTAGAGCATCTTTGTAGGCTTGCCTAGAGCTGGTTCGCTTAACTTGGTTTCTCCTTTCCTAGGAAAACTATTTCATTGCACCAAGAGTGTGGGTTTCGACCCTTCGAAGGAACACTTGATCATAACGTTGAAGGGTGGTTCATAGTTTCGTAAATTTCTTCCGATGAAATTAGCTCACTTAAAGAAGCCAAATATGCGATTTTTAAATTCGGCGTATGTAGATACGTATGTATTGCTATCATCTGCAGTTTAAAAGTTAGAGAGACAGTTCGGATACAGTGGTTTTAAATGAGTACTGATTTTGAATGACTTTGCAAGAATAGGAGGTATTGCTCGCCAAGCGACGATATATTAAAACAAGAAACCTAAAAAAAAATCCACTATGATCTAAGAACTTTAACTCAAGAATAAGCGCAGAGAACATTAATTCTCAATTCATAAATATTAGATGTGTTTGGAAGGATATTGGTAAAGGATTTTCAAACAATTTAAAGCCAAAAAAATAAATCTTTGAAATAAAAAGGCTCTACCCATAATTTCAAATAATGGCTTATGTGAAATAGTTTTTTCTGCGCTCGTCAAATTTTTGCATTTTTAAATAATCCACTGTCCAACTGAGCAAAAAATAGTTTTTCGCCAAATTTAAATTTTTTGAGGTGCTAATTAAAAACCACAAAATAATTCCGGGTTTTTTCACAAAATATTTTTGCTTTTAGTTTAATAAATTTAGTAAATAAATTAATAAACGTTTCCGAAACCGACAATGTGACAACTTCTATAAAGTAATCAATAGGTACAATAACTACAACAACAAACATAGCAAGAGAATAGCGCAAAACCGACAATACTTCAACCAAATTGGCAGCAACTATTCATTACGTCAAGCGGTTTAGTCGCGCGCAAATTAAGAAATTAAACAACAGTTATAATACATATGTATGTACAGACATACGTAAGTAGAAAAAACGAAAAAATACAGATAAATGTGAGAACAAAAAAGTAGAACAAAATCCAACCAAACCAAATAAATGTATGCGGTGTGAGGAAGCAAAGAGTAGGACATGCCGGAGCTGACTTCACTTGACTTGACTATATAAAGCAGCAGCCACATAAGCTACAACGCAAACACAACAGCAACAACAACAACATCGACTATGACAATAAAGAGCCTATCAGACGTGGCAATGCAATATATTTCAAAAAGGCTGTCAAAGAAAGAGGTTTTTTATTTCCGAAAGACGAATTGCAGATTGCTAGTGTAACACGATCAAGTTGAAATATATTTCCGAAATCGATTTGCGCTCTCTCAATTGCAGTCTTGCATCTTGCAACTTTTATTTCTGAAACTGATTACCGGAATGTGTCAGAAATTTCTTGCTGGCTGTTCACACAGCGAAATAAAATTTCTCTTTCTCAATTTGACA